ACAAGTGATCTGTAGATAAAGGTAACTCCATTTTAGGCCTCAGAGTTTCCACAGGTTAGGTTCCATCTGGTATAAATTTATAATCAGAAGTCATCTAACCTAGAAGGAAAAAAACACCATGAGTGAGAACCAGCAGAAAGAATGACTGCATATTTAGCCAAGGATTTCAGGTATTGTATTTCTTATATACAGAATACAAAATAACTATCTGTAAGTGTTTAAAGGAGTAAAGATGACATTTTTAAATGAAATAAACAAGAGACTATAAAAAACTCCCAGAAGGGTTCAAAAAGAACTCAACAAAATATTTGAGTTCAACAAAACAAAAAAAATGAATAAAATTCTACTTCTGGCTATGATGAAGTAACTGTTAGCAGACCAGACTTCCTGCTGTAAACAAGTAGAAAATTGACAAAATATGAAACACTTGCTTTCACATATTGGCTAATAGGCATCAGAGGACTGTGGTCCCTGAGAAAAGGGAAGCAAATGAGGTGAGCCCTACAACCTCCCCAGCTTTCTGCCTAGAGGTTCTTTCCAGACCACAGGGCAGGACACAGTGATCTCATTGAGCTTAGGAGGAAGAAAGTAAAGGTCACAAAGGCTGAGGCAACTGAAACATGCAGGAAAGAGTAGGGCGGGGAAAGGTGATTGTAGAGAAAAAGCTCCAGGAATGTGAGTATGGTGGCATTCATTTCCTATTGCTGCTATAACAAATTACCACAAAATTAATGACTTTACAACAACAAAAATTAATTACATTATAGTTCTGCAGGCCAGAAGTTCAAACTCAGTCTCACTGGGATAAAGTCACAATGTTGGCAGGGTTGGTTCCCTCTGGAGGCTCTAAGATTCAGTGTAATGGATCCATTTAATGCCTCTTCTAGCTTCTAGAAGCTGCCAGCATTCCTTGGTTCATGGCTGCAGCACTCCACCCTCTGCTTCCATCATTACATTGCCTTCTCTGGTTTTGACCTGCCTTCTCTCATAAAGACCTTTGTGATCACCTTGGGCCCACCCAGATAATCTAGGATAATATCCTCATTTTAAGATCCTTATCCTAATCACATATGCAAAGTCCCTTTTGCCATGTAAGGTTATATATTCACAGGCTCTGAAGACTGGAATGTGGACATCTTATAGAGCCATTATTCTGTGTACCACAGGGTCCCCTTGAGGCTTTGTCTGAATACCAAGCTTTATAGCATAAGGTAAGATTCCATGAGTCCAGAGAAAGAATGATTTATGGGAACTATAAAGTGAACAAGTACCATAGTCTCAAGATTGAGAGACATTCCAGTTCCAATGAGCCAAAGTGAAGAAATTTGTTGAATACCTAGGCCGTTCAGCAGTTACCCCAGAAAGGCAACACTTTAGGAATGAGATGAATCTAGCCTTAGAGAAAAAACTGTTCTAGACCTGCCCTCATAACTACTATAGACTTGCCCTCATGAAGATTCAAAACGAGACTTGAAAGATGAAGCTGCATATCAAAACAAAGACTGATATTCTTTAGAGGATAACATAAAAATCCTACTCAATAAATACTATTTGTAATGTCTAATATCCAATAAGAATTACTAGACATGACAAAGCAAAAAATATGACCCATAACCATAACTTTAAAATAGTTATCATGTTTATTACATTTACACCTATTATAAAGTAATAAGGAATGGACTTACCCTCCTAATATAAACAACTAGAAATCTGGACATATATGAAATAATTGTTTTACAACATTGAACAGACAGATCAGAGCTGTGACCACTGAGAAATAAACTAGGTGATCTCTAGAAGATTTCTGCTTGATGGGAGTTCCCCAATTAGGAATGCATGGAAGGAGACCTAAACAGACTCCGGTGGAGTTTAGGAAGTCAGAGTTTAGACAACTGAAAGTTACAGAACAGAGTTCTAGAGAGGTGGAACCAGAGCAAAAAAAATTTTTTTTCAAGGGATCTGCATATGGGTGTCCTTGAGTATCAGCTGTGTGTGGTGGTGGGGAAGGAGCAAAGCAGACAAAGAAAGACCAGATTGTTGAATATTTCCCAGAGTTCCCAAAGTGGGGAAATATTTGAGTTCTGACCAGCCTATGTGGAAAGTCCTCAGTGATCACCCAAGCATTCAGTAGAGACCTTAGACCCTTGGGACTCTTGACAGAAGTGCTTGATAGTACAGTTTGGCAGTAGTGCTGACTTATCCTTTGATTGAAAGAAATTCTAGACCCACTCAGACAATGCTAAACAGGCCTTAAAGGAACAAATTGATCCACTAATAACAACTGCTTGCCACACTTGCAACAACTGAAAGAAAGGCAACAAAATCCAGTCAGTCGGCAATATAATATTCATGATATTGGGCATCCACTCAAAGTTTACTAGACATTCAAAAAACAGGAAAGTGTGACACATAATTAAGAGAAAAACCAGTCAATAGAAATAGAATGATCAATGACAGAGGTGATGGAATCAGAAGACAGGGATATTAAAACAGACATTGTAACTATATTCAAGTACTTATAGGAAAAGATGAATATAGTGATATAAAAAAGAGTGAAGTGAATGCCTAGAGTTAAATATATATACAATATAAAAATTTTACTGGGTGGGATTAACAGCAAATTAGACTTTTCAGAGAAATGAGCAGAGGGGTGGAACAACAGTAGAATCTATCCAAATGAATCACATGGAGGGAAAAAACTGCCTCAATAACCTGTGGGACAATATCAAGAAGTCTAACACAGGTATAATGGGAGTCCCAGAAGGATAGAGAAGTGGGACATAAGTTTTTTGAAAATATAATGGCTAAATATTTTCCATATTTAATAAAATAAAAATTCACAGAATTCAATACACACACACACACAAACGCCTGACACAGAGGCACATCATAATCAAATTGTGGGAAACCAGTGATAAAGATAAAACTCTAAAAGCACTGAGAGAAAAGACATTAGGTACAGTGTAATAAAGATTAAAATACCACAGATTTCCCATCAGATATTATGCAAGTCAGGAGACAATGGAAAGACATCTGTAAAGCAGCAAAAGAAAGAGATATCCTCCAAAAATAGACACAATAAAAACTTTTGGAGAAAAATAAAAGTTGCATCAAACAGCATTATCAAAAAAGTAAAAATACAATCTACAGAAAGGGAGAAAATATTTGCAAATCATATATCTGATAAGGTATCCAAATACAGAGAGGACTCTTACAATTCAATGATAAAAAGACAAAAACAACCTAATCCTAAAATGGCAACGGATTTGAATAGACATTTCCCCTAAAGAAGACATACAAATGGCCAATAGGCATACGAAAAGATGCTCAACATCATTAGTCATTAGGGAAATGCAAATCAAAACCAGAATAAGATACATCCACTAGGATGGGTATAATTTTAAAAAAAGAAGAAGAAGAAAGAAAATAACAGTTGTTGGTGAGGATATAGAGAAATCAAAACTCTCATACATTGCTAGTGGGCATGTGAATGGTTAGGCATTGTGGACATTTTGATGGTTCTGCCAAAAATTAAGCATGGAATTACCATATGAACCAGAAATTTCAATCCTAGCTTACTCACTTTAAAGTTCACTTTAATTTCTGTAACTTCACCAGAACTTAAGGGGCAAGCTTTCATGTATTAGAGAACATCAACGTGATGTATCTTGGTTTTCTCCTGTTTGTAATAAAGACGCCCATTTGCAATAAACTATGACTCTAAAAGATTCATTTCCAGAAAGCAATGGGATTTAAAGTTTTTTTCTCTAGGGAACTGAGGAGAAAAGCTGTCAGAATGAGTTTCCAATGAACCAATACTGACAGTGTGGCCCCCAAGGAGAAGGGGGTGCCTTTTTGAGTGTTTGACTTCAAGGATGCTGTCATACTTACTTAAAGGCCTTCAATAGTTGTTTCCTAAAGGTCAAGTCTAATTTCCTGGCAGGAAACATGTTCATGAGACTGCCCCTTCCCACTGCTTCTCTGCCCCTGCACGTAACCTCAGAGCACCGCTCCCCAGCCTGCATTACTGCATTATTTCTGGTGTGGAGACGATGCCGTCCTCTTTCTTCCCTCCTTGTGGGTTCTTCTAGGTCCCAGCATTACACCCTATCCCCACCTCTCCACTATTTATCTCCTATTTTTCCTGCAAGAATCAGACCAAGCACCACCCATATGTCTTCTGCCAAATGAAATAGAATCAGAGGCAAGAAGCAACTTTGGTCATATTATAAAAGAAAAGATTTTGGCTTGTACATGCTGTTAGTTTCTGCTTTAAAATACCCACAAATGACCATATTAAGAAATAAAACTTACAAGTTTATTTTTCCAAAATTTTAATCAGATACAGAAGTTGGATTCTATCAATTCCTTTGTTGTCTCTTGTTAAAATTATGAAGTTTTAGTATTTTTTCCAGTTAATTCTTTTAATTTGGAGCTTCCTAACCAGTGAGCTGCAAATAGTTATGACATGGATCCCTCAGGCAAAACCCCAAGGCCAAGTGCCTCTATTATTTCTCTAGCTGGGAGCAGCTTCTTCAATCACTTTAACAAGTTTACTTCCATTTATCATTTTCTAAGTGAGCTGTGAAATGAAAACCTTGAGAACTGCTGTGTTAATGGCTTGCTCTGTGTTGGGTCTGGCTTCAGGACATCCAGCTTGCCTATATTCGATTTAGGGTAGTTTGGTCCAAGTTCTTTTCTTTCATTGTCTAAAGTATCTTTTTGTTGTCATTAAACTCGATTTAGGTTCAAAATCATATTTAANATATACATGGCTGTTATCTGCCCTGTGGGTGGTCTGAGTGCTGGAGGGCAGGGGCGGGGCATGGGGCCCTAGCGGGGGCATCTGGAGTGAACTTCCTTGCTGTGCATGAAGACAATGAAAAAGTGACTCTTCAGGAAGATGCGAGATAGGGGGTGGGGAGGGCAAGATTGAAAGCACTAAGAGGTGGGCTTGTGGCTTGGGTGGAAGGGGGCTGAAACGACCACGGAGGCGGTGCTCAAATGGCCACGCTGTTCTCCACCAGGCTGGGGCGCAGGTACTCGTAGGGCAGGGCCAGCTTTGCATTCCGGACCTCAATTTCCTTATCCAGGGCCGCCAGCTCTTCCCTGAACTTCTTCAGCACAGCCTTGGGCCCAGGGCCTGAAAAATACTCCTCCTCATGCTGGCCCAGAGCCACCTGGACAGAAAAAGGCCGCTGAGAGCCTTACACCCTCTGTTTGGAGTGCCGCGCCCCCCTGCAGCTGCCTGACCCCCTCAGAGCCCCAGCACCTGGCACTCACCATAACGGGCTGGCGTCTGCCCAGCTGCCAAGTGATGGACATCTGGAGAGAAGCCTGGTGAAAGTTGGGCAGGGTTGCCATCACCGTCTCCAGAGTCACATCCTTGGTGGTCGGCGGGGGCAGCCGCATTGTGCAGGGTGCGTTAGGGACCCAAGCGTACCAATCCAGCTGAGGGGCAAGTGTCTGGAGTCAGTGTCGGCTGAGCTGGAAAACCCCTGAGGCCACCTGCACACAGCTCCCTCCCCTACTGCAGCCACCCCGCCGAGGTAAGTACCTGGCCCAGATGGATGGAGGAGTGCTGGCCCGTGCAGGTGAAGATGCACATGGTGGCAAAGTGGCAGAGCTGGTCCTGGGACTGTAAGGAGACAGGAAACCCTGCAAGGGGTCAGGAGAGTTAGAAGCTGGCAAGCCAGGAACAGAAGCAGAGCTCAGAGAAGAGGCAGAGAGGGAAGAACAGGAGGTGTGGGGACTGCTGGGGACTCACAGTCACTATTGTGTAAGTTGGCACAAGACTGTGTGGGGCTGAGGAGACTGGGAGATCTGCTTAGGGGGAGGAAGGATCCTGCTCAGTGGGCTTCCAGCATGGCTCATACCAGCTCAGGAGTCAATTGCATTAAATGTTTAGGTATTTAGCATGCTGGTTGACATCACATTGGTAGCTAAGGTGGGAATATTTACATCATGGAAATGGGCAAGTCCTGGCCCGGAGGTTAATTTCCAGGGTGTATCGCAGGTGGGGAATCAGGGCTTCTTTTCCCAGAGAGCTGGTTGTTAAAACATTAATGAGCATCCATGGGTTACACTGCATCCAGGACCCAGATGGCTTGTCAATGCATAGGATGGGGACCCATCTCTAGCTGAGAGGAAAGGAACTTAGGAAAGCCTTTGAGCACTTTCATAAGAGTTGGAAATGCTTCTGCAAGTTTCCATAGAAGTAGAGAGGACTCTGGGTAGGTTTCAAAGAGGACTCTCTTGTGCTGGAGGTGTCATATCATGCCAGGGGCTTGTCTTACCTCGGTCCTGGGCCCCTAGCAGCCCAATGTCAGTGATTTCTCGACACCAGGTCTGCAGCTCGAGATCCCCTTTCACCGCTTCATCGGTCTTGTAGTGGAGATGCACCATTCCCTCCACGTAGCTGCCAGCCAGTGCAGGGTGAGTGCGCTGAAGCTGGCAGGGAGCCTCCAGGTCTGCTGCTCCTTGCCCACATATCCAGGCCAGGGCCCCCAGGCCTCCAAACAAGACACAGACCTCCCATTCTTGCTTCCTCCTCCACCCCACCACCAGCAGCCCTGCCTTCCGCCTGGCCTCACCGAGAGATGGTATCCCAGAGCCGCAGGGCGTCCTGGGCATAGTAGGAAGACTTGACTCCCAGGATCCCCCGGTCAGCCAGGTCCTCAGGGGGACAGAATGAGCTGTAGGTCAGAAAAGCTCCAGCTCGCTTGAGCAGCTCCACATGGCCTCCCCCACCTGTGCTCACCACCTGCAGAGCGAGGACAGGCAGGGTCAGGCAAATCAAGCTGCCCAGAACAGGATGGACTGTGAACTCCAGAACACCTGTTTCTCTCCTCGTACCTAGTCAAAAACTCCTAAGTCAGAGACCAGACCAGTCCTGGCCCGGAGGTTAATTTCCAGGGTGTATCGCAGGTGGGGAATTATAAGCTAGAGGGAAAAGAGCAAGGGAGGGCCAAGTCAGAAGAGAGCTGTGGCAGGTCCCCGCAGGAAGTAAGGGCTGAGAGGCAGGGAAGGTACTGGGTCTTCAGGAAAAGCAGAGACTTGAAGTTCAGTGGCCCCTTGACACCAACAGTGTTCAGTGGATGTGTGATTCATTCCACAACCCATTGACTTATTGCTCTATGGTAACTCAAAGAAAGCATTCTTTTCTTTTCATACAAGATTGCTTAACATCTAGCTCAATGTTTCTCAAGCTTTTTTTTCATTATTATTCCTCTAAAGCACCTTTTTAGGTATTTTTCCTACTCTCACCCTACATGAAATTTCAATACTACAGATATATTTCTTATGTAATGCATGTATATATGTGCTTTACATATAAAAACTGTAAGATTTTTTTGCCCCCTAAAACCACTTTCACCCGGTTGGGGAGCATAATTGCCCCCACTGAGAATGTAGTGGTCTAACCTGCCTACCTCCGGAACTTCATCTCCTACCCACTCCCCTTTGTCCATCACACTCACCTTCTTTCTGTTCTTCGATCATGCCAAGCTTGTTCCTGCCTCAGGACCTTTGCACTAGCTATTTCCTATGCCTGGAACAATGTGCCCCTTGATCTCTCCAGACTGGCTCTTCAGTTTCATTCTCTAGGTCATCTCTTCCAAGGAGCCTCTCCTGGCCACCCAATCTAACCTCACCATCATATTACCCCTCTCTGATGCTCTGCATCGTACTTATCACAGCTGATATGTTATAGTGCAATCTTTATTGACTGTTAGCCCTTAACAGAAATAAAAATCCCTGAAGATGAGGGCCTTGCTTGTTTTGTGTAGCTCTGGCATCCAGAATGGTACTTTCCCCATAGGAGGCACCCAAGAAACAAGTTAGTGGGTGAATACTGTGTTTGGATTGTCCATGATGAACCAGGCTCCTGCTGTGAACTATGACTCCCTCTGACCAGCCTATGTGTTACTACTTTAGAACTCTTCAAAGCTGGCAGGAAAAATCTTTTATGTTATGTACATGGTCTGCTCTTATGGAATGGGATCCTTAGTCATTTGTGGGTACTGCCTACGTACTGTATGTGTATCTGTGCTTTATGCATACAAAGAGCAAGACTTCTCACCCCACCCGGCCAGTGAGTCATGTCCATCTCCTTGGAGGGCAGATCACCCTGCTGAAAATGAGAGCACGTTCTCACTCCCTTGCTCACTGGCTTTTATTGGCTGGCTTTCCCCAAACCCTGAGATGCCTGCACAGGTGGCACTGTGCCATGGGGCCAAGAGAGGGGCAGGAGAGAAGGGATAAGGTGTCACCTTGAAGATAGGATGTATCGATGGAAGGCACCTCATGGTGGCCACTGCAATGACCTCAGCCATCAAGTGTCCCCTCAGAAGATGAGACTGCAGCTCGTGCATCTGGAAATCAGAGCTACGGACCCAGCATTTGGCCAGAAGCCAGACCATGGGGGGATCCGTGGGCAGGAAGAGCAGTGGTGGCGGGGACCCCTCTCGTGGCACTTGGAGCTGGAGTGGGGACAGTATGCAGACAACAGATGAGTACCGGGTGCCTAATAGATTCCGCCTCCCTCACAGGCTGAACCTCTCCCTCCTTCTTCCAGGTTTGCCTAGCGTTTCCCATCTGGTTGCCGCTCCCCTACATCTGGTTACTCCTTTCCCTCCCTTTCCTATCTGCTCAGCCCATTAACCCAACCGCTCTGCCCTTGGCTTCTGCCGAAACTGCTCTTCCACTGGAGCCACCACTGCAGCCTTCTCCAGCCCCCACGTCCCCTCAGTCCCCTTGGGGTGGACCAGATTCAAACCCTCAGTCTCCTCCACCCCACACTCTTTTTCAGAAATCTCAGCATCTCTCCGATCCTACCACCACCTCTGTGCAGCTGACTAGGTCTCCAGGTCTCAGCTAGTGACTAACTAGACCTTACAATTTGCACATCGTCCTATTACCTGAAAATTGGTCAAATAAAGCCTACCTGAGCATCTTCTCTTTATCTGTCCCATTTCTGCAGGTGCCTTGCCCGACTGCTCCTTTGGCTCTCTCCGTGAATCCAGGCCAGTCTGAGTTTCCTCTGCTGCCCCACACAGCTATTCCCCACACCTAAGCCTATTGCCTCCGCCTGGGGCAACTGCTGGAGCAGGTCTCCCTAATCCCTGCATCTACTCTCTTCCTTCCCCCACCCACCTTACACACAGTTGCCCATACAATATGCCTGCAGCGTCCCACAACAGCCTGCCCTGGCCTCCTGCGTTCACACTCCTCAGCACAGCACCCATGGCCTGCCACAGCCTCGCTCACATTATTCCCCAAAACCCCAGCCCAACGGTCCACTGCTAATCTCCTGGCTCCTCTCACCTGGTCATACCTCAGCTTCTCTGCCAGCTCATCTTCTGGGGGGAAGGTCCTGCCCCTCCCACCTGCTTGCAGATCAAAGTCCTGACCCTCCTCCCAGGCTCACACCCGCCCCACCTCCCATGACCCCTCCCAGACTGCTCCAGCCTCAGAGACTTCCTCAATACTGGGCTTCTTCGGATTTGCCAGGTCTGTCTCTCCAGTTAGACTGCAACTTTCCTCCTTTAATGCCTCCCCCAGTGCCTTAGCAAAGGCCTTTGAACAGCGTGGGTACTCAGTGAATTTGGATGAGGGACTGAGCACTGGGGCGCAGAAATCCTGGGTCCTCTCACCTGGATGACCATGGGCAGGAGTTGCCCGTCAGGCTGCAGTTTCAGCATGACCAGAGGGGCAGCCAGGTGCTGCTGGCAACACAGGATGACATTGGCCTTGATCCCATCCAGCAGGGAGAAGTCAGCCTCAAACAGCGTGCCTCCCTGAATGCGGGAAGAGGGCAAGGGCTGCTATCAGCATAAGGCAGCTTCTTCCCACTTAGGTTCCCCAAAGAAGAAAAAGAAGGAAATTAACTGGTCTACATCACCTACTTTGCACCACGTAGTGGATCACAAGCTTATTGCCTCATATAATTCTCATATGCCCTTGAAGTTGCCCCAGTTTTATAGAAGAGGAAGCAGATGATCAGAGAGGATAGGTATCTCGCCTGAAGTCACACAGCTTATAAACAGCAGAGCCAGGATTCAAACCCAAATCTGTCTCACCCTAGAAACCCAGGATATTCCTGCCGACCCCTGACTAACAAATCCATCCCTGACCCTGATTCCCCTACTCCACACGCTCCCCCAAAATCCTAGCACCAAGGCCCAGTTGCATCTCCTCATTTTGACTGTCTCTATAAACCGTGGCACACTCTCTCTACAGTCCATTTCTCATCTGGGAGGAAGGCTACACAGCCACCCCTCTCCAGGATCACTTAGGATTTCTCCCATAAAACCGCTTCTTGCCACCTGGTGGCAAGCTGGGCCCACAGTGGACCCCGCAGCAGCACCAACACCGACCACTCCCCACCCCATCTCAGTGCTTGACCTCCTTAGGGCTCTTCTGTCCGTACCTGGAGCTCCTTCTCCAGCTGGGCCTGCAGCTCCTCCATCCCTGGAGGGAATACTAGGCGGGCAGGAAGGTGCGTAGAGCGCCTCAGCAGCATGGGGTTGGCACCATTGAGAAACTGGTACCCAAATAAGGCATCCTCCTTCCAGGAGTCCCGCACCCGCTCTGGGGACGGCAGTTGCAAAGTCCACTGTGGGATCTGAGTTCTTGGTCCTTTCCTTCCAACACCCACCAAACCAGCCTCACGTGACCTCAGCCTACCAGAGGGACCCAGGCCTCTGGACTCCCAACCCTGGTTCCCTGGATTGGTGGGATCTGCAGGTAAGGGTCCTGGGAGAAGTATTGGGGTGGGAGTACTGACCAGCCAGCTTGCTCTGGCCACACAAGAAAATCCGTTTGAAGTCATCCAGATCTTTCCAGCAAGTCAGAACATTTAAGGAGTCTTTGACAGCTAGGCCTGCCAACCTTCAGGAAAAGGTAGGCAAAGATTGTGAGATTTATTCTCAGAATCAAACATTACAGCCACCGGGCCCACAGTGGGATGGTCCCTTTATCCCAGGTGCTCCTTCTTACCCCTTGGCCAGAGAAGCCTCAAAATCGATTTTCTTGTCCTCCAGAAATCGCTCATCTACAGGGAGGTCACATATTTTGCCCCCAGCCACATTCAGGATTAACCCATCCTTCCAGTTACCCCACCTGCAGTGTAGACATGAAATCAGACATTGGCACTGGAGAACGGTCAGCAGTCCACTGTGGGGTGGAGGCAGTCAGGAGCGCGCAGGCGGGCTAACCGGTACAGCTTCCTCCTTTCTTCCAGCTCCTCCTCCCTGTGTTTCCTGAACAGGCCCTGGGGGTCGTCTACCACCGTGCGGCCTAGAAGCAGGCAGGAGGGAATGGGCCATGAGGCTTCTCCTGAAGGTCTCTCCCCTGGCCCTGCCGAGGATGCTCAGCATCGTGCCCGGCCCGAGCCTCGGTGCGGCTCCGTGCCAGCCCCAGCAACCTGCCTCGTTGACAACCCCCGAAGACCCGTCCCCCAGGTTCCAGCCCCCTCGCCCTGCCCCCCCACTTCCTCCGCTCCCCCCCAGCCCACCGGCTTGTCTTATGCCCCAGAAACCTCCTCACCCCCATCCCCGCGCTAACCAGTGCCCTCTGGTAGTTTCAGGATGCCATCGCCCTCCACCCAGCGGTAACAGGGGAACCAGAACTCATCCCCACTATCCCCGGGGCCCTGCACCGAGATCCAGTTGCAGAACCAGGCGTCATTCTGAAGGAGGCGCCGTTTGCGTAGTTTCACGAACAGCAGCGGCCCCAGGTACTCCCGCACATCCTCCTTGAATTCTGCCTCCTGCAGGCGACAGAAGAGGCTCAGTATCAGCGGGGCTTGCGGGACTGAGCCTGGCTTCCCCCGGACGTCCTTCCTGGGGTCCTCCGGGAAAGATGTTCCAAAGGAGCCAGAAGAGCAAAGGGTACGCGCACCGAGCAGGTGGCTGGCTCCGCGACACCGTTTCGGGTCATCGAGTTCCTCAGCCCGGGGTACCGCGGAGGAAAGTGGAGGGGGTGCCCTCCATCCTTCGCTTGTTCCTCCCTGTGGTCATTGTGCCAAGCACTAGGCCGGGCACTGGGCACCCGGCGCCGCGCCCCAGAGAGTGCACAGCTGAACCGAGGGACACACTGTTGACCAGGCAGTGACAGCTGTGAGCCTCAGGCGTCCTCCACCAGCACCTCTAAGGCTCAGCCCAACGGAGGCCCCACCTGCTCCAGCGCAGGCTTCCCCGAGGACAACCCACCTCTAGGTGGAAAGGGCTTGGCCGGGAAGAATGGGAGAGGGAAAGGTGTGCGACAGGCGTGCCGGGGAACGCAGAGCGGAGGCTAGGACCGCGTTGTGGAGCGGGGCTCTGAGCGCGTGCTGAGAGATGAGCAGGATCAGACCGTTAAGAGTCTCAAAGATAAAGCCAAGAACAAGCAGAAGCCATTCCAATGTTCTAAGCCGGGGGAGGGGGGAGTATTTGGAAGAAATCGCTCTGGCTGCAGGGGGGCTTGGAAGGTCAGGAGTGGAAGCGACGAGGCAGGTGAAGAGGGGGGTGATGGTCGGGGGTGGGGCGGACATCCAGGCACGAATGCCGGAGACAACCAGGAGATAGAACTGTCATTCGTGGCTGGACAGAGGCGAAAAGAGGGGGAGCGCGAGTGACACCTGGGGGAGACAAGAGGGGATGTTAGAGAGGAGGCAAGAGGGGAGGCCCTAAGTTGGGCTTGTTCTTTGACGCGTCCGTGCGACAGACATCCGGATCCGGGGGTCTTGGAGAGAGCTGGACAGGTGATGGGAATTTGGGGGTCGCGGAGGAAAAAGTAACAAGAGCCGGGGCAGGTGTGGTGGGAGAGGGGCAGTGGGTCGGGAAGCTCAGTGTTCTCATTTCTTGGCTTCTTGTCCCCACCTTTGCCTCGGACTCCATCCCCACCCACTCAGGGGTAAAGCCGCAAGGTCTGGGATGCAGCAAAAGCGGAGAAGGTTTGAAACAGCAGCTTCTAAGAGGAGGAAACAGGAGGCCGCACGGCCGCTCCAGAAACCCTAGTTGCAGGAAGACAGAGTACTGCGCGCAAGAGTGCGCCCTCGCTTCCGAGGGGGCTGGCCGGCCGGCGGGGACATTTACTGGGCGCTTACCGTGTGCTACGTGTACGGCCCTACAGCGCTTTACCCCGCGGGCTCTGGGCGCCCTTGGTGCCGGGCGTGCGCCCTCCACCGCGAGCAGCCAGTGTTCCCGGCTCTGGCGAGTTCGGGGCCGGGATTGGTTGGCCGGATTGGGGCCCGGCCGCCGGCTCGGCCGCTCACCTGACCGCGCGCCGGCCGCAGGCTCTTCCCGAGCGCCGCCTCCCCGTGCTCGCCGACCAGCCACAGCTGCACCCGGTTGTTGGAGCCCGCACAGAACGAGGACCCGGTGGCCACGCGGACGCGATAGAGACCCATCTTGCCCGAAGACGTTTGGAGCCTTCTGAGGGCGAAAAAGAGTGGACGCGCGAAATAACGGGGCACGAGACTCCGCCCTCGAAGCCTCGCTGGGGCTCAGGGCCGGGGGTGGCAGGGCTCCAACCAGCCCCACCTGGCGGCGCGCTGCGGCCCCTAGCTCCACGCAGCCCAGACCTCAGTCCCCAGGCCAAGAAGGCGGAGCCCTGGTTGGGGTCCAGGGTGCCAACCGTTATCTCCGTAGGGGAAGAAGGATGGAAGGGGAAGCCCATCAGGATTTGGGCAGGAAACGTGCTGGAAGGAGTCTACAGCCGACCCAGCAGACAGACCGTGTGGCTGGGAAAACCCCTCCATCTAAATACACTCACGGACGCGTGTACACACACACGCACTGACACACACACACACTCTGGCCTCCCAAGTTGGTTCACCTTTGCCATAGGTGGTGCTTACAGTTGCAAGGGAGCATGAAGAGGGCGAGAAGGCCTGGTCTGCAACAGCATTTGAAGAAGGTACATTCAGGCCACCAGATTAATTTGACCAACTTTGAACACTTGTGTACCTTCCCTGTGCTGAACTCTGGGGCCATTCCTTTCCAGCTTAAAAGACTCTGCCTTTCTGTTGCTTACATGATAAACAACCAAATTTCTTGGCATTCAAAGCCCTTGCTAACCTGGCTTACCCACCTCCCAACTCATCCCACAGCACCCCATCTTTGTCTCGGGTCTCTCCATCTGGGGCTGGAGCCTGTGTTTCCCAGAACCCACCCTGTTGTTGGCTTGCAGTTCTTGCTCCTGGAAAATTCTTTTCAGCCTTCTAAGCCCTAGTTAGACCAGTTTTTCAGAGAAGTCTTTTCTGGGCTTTCCAACATCCACCCACTACTCCCCACCAAAGGTAATAAGCTTTCCTCTCTACTGCTTTCACTCTGTGCATACTTCTAATATTTCATACTTAATAGTCCGTATCTCCACCCACGGTGACCTCTCCTAGGCAGGAACCACATTCCCAATACTATTTACTCACTTTTGTTTCTCCTGGATTTAGCATCATATCAGGCTTATGGGTATCAATGTTGCTAAAACACGCTGGACTCAAAGATCAGTTATAAATAAGGCCTTTCCCTTGGAGGAGAAAAAGGCAAACAATACTCCCAGGCAATGTAAATCATAAGGGAATAAATAGTAAAATAAACTCTGGTGCCACCATGGTATGGAGTACCAAAAGCCAGGTAAAACAAATGAAGTCAGTAGAAATATGTCTGTAAGACACATTTTTTTTTTTAGTGGAAAGCACATTCACATGATTCAAAGTTCAAAAGGCACCAACTGTATTCACTAATGACTCCCTCCCTCTTGGCCCCATGGCAGTCAGTCACCAGTCTCTTCTGTGCACTCTCACAAGCAAACACAAGCCTTTCCTTTTTATCCTTTGCCTGCACATGGTAGCTTACTTTACACACTGTCCTGCACCTTGTTTTTTCCATATTGCAACATAAATCAGGAGATCATTCCATATCAGAACTTAAAAAGCTTTCTTGTTAAGGTTGCCATTGTTCTGATGTAACCTAATATACTCTACCAGTTTCTTATAAGTGCACATTTAGGTTGCTTGCAATCTTCTGTAAATTAAAAAAAAATGATCAAAGAAATTTGGTGTATACATCATTTCTCATATGAAGTAGATATACTTTGTAGATATACTTCAGATATCTGTAGATATACATATAAATCTGTAAAAATGTAATTGCTGGACCAAAGCACGTGTAATTTTGGCAGAAACTGCTGAATTACCCTCCGTAAAAGTTGTACCAATTTACACTCCCATCAGTGAGTCCACTGATGTATGAGAATGCATCACTCTTGCCAATAGTGTGTTACATTTTTACCTTTGCCAATCTGATAGTGAAAAATGGTACCCTAGTGTAATTTAATTTACATTTCTCTAATAATAAATAAGATAACCATATTGTAGATGCCATTCACACTTTGTTTTCTGTGAATCAGGTATTCCATTTTCTATTGGAGTTTGATCTTTTTCTTGCTGATTTCTAAGAACATTTATATATTAGAAAAATTAGCCTTTTTCCAACTCTATTACCACTAAAAGGGTCCTGATAGCAACAAAGTCCATTTTACCTACATTAACTTATTAGAGCCCAGATTTTGGTCTATAATATCATTCTCCACTAAAAGGAACCTGGGCTTCTTAGAGGATAGCTGACTCCATGCTGGGGGCAGGTAAGGCCAGGATAAGCCTAGAACATGCTACTGTTGCTAAAAAATAAAATAAAATAAAGTAAGGACGCACCCAAGAAATTCACAGGCAGTGGTGATAGGGAAAAATGTCCACTTAGAGGAGCTCCACTGGCCATGTTGTGATTTTGAGAAGCAAAAACTAAATAATAAATAGGATTAATTGAAATAGAAAAAGGTATCAGACTGCTTTCTGTTGCAAGTAACCAAAAAATCCATTCAAAATGCTCAGACGATGGGGAAAATTATCTCAGAAAATAAGAAGTCCATAGGGTAGGTCAGCTCTAGGTTTGTTCAGTTCAGTGGCTCAACAGCAGCATCAAGGAACCGGAGTTCGGTTTTCCCATCTTTCCATCCTTCACAGGTTAGCTCCTCAGTGACTTGCCTCCTGAGCAAAGTGGCTGCTACCACTCCAGTAATCCCATACAGACATAACAATATCCAGTGGGAAAAGAAGGGCCATTTCTCCCCGTGCCTCCCTTTCTAAAAGCAGGGGAAGCTTTCCCAGAAGCTAATCCAGCAGTTTCTTCATATCTATTTTTAGCCGAAACTGTGTACCAAATCCTTCAAGCAAACAAAGGAAATGGAACCACCATGATCCTCTTAGCCTAGTCAGGATTTACTCCTGAGTTACATAGGAAAGGACATATGGACATACATATGGACACAAAATGTATTTGGGGCCCCACCAAGAAGGGGTAATGGATTGGGAGGTAGGCATCCAAGGGTGTCTGTTACAATGAGTTTGTGAAAGACTTAAATTCATAATAATATTAAAAAGAGAAAAGTTACTGTAAACTATTGCAAAAAAGTATAATACAGAAAAGAATATTAGGATTTTTGACATTTTATAGTTTTAGTAAGAAAGAGAATGTTACTATATGAGCATGTGTGCTTCCTCTAGGTATACATTTATTTATAATTAACAGGTATATGCTCATTTCACTGGTAACAGGGATAAAAACAAGGAACGGTGTGTCAGCCAAATAGTACCTGAAAAAACAGGAACTGTTCCAAGAAGACGAAGGATTGATCAGCACATCTGGCTACACATGATAAACCAGATAGAAAGAAGGCCCAACCAGCTACCCAGCTCTGTGCTCCCAATCCAAGGAGAACAGGGGTCCTGGGAGGCTGAATTAGCCAAATCTAAAGAAGAGTATTAATGTGCAAACACAATCCGTCTTTCCCAGGAAATGAATCCTCTAGATGTCCCCTTAACCCTAATAAGACATTAATAATGGAAGCATAATTTTTTAAATAAGACTAACAAATCTATGAGTCAGCAAATCATAATGACAAAACAAGGCATTCCGTAACTCTGGCCAAGTAAAAGTATAGAGATACATCATTTCAGGGGAGGAGGACAGATGGCAGAAACTAAATATGTACGTGGATTCATTGTTAACAGGAGAAGTTTTACAGGGACAAAGACAGCTCCTTTGGAGAAACAACAAGCTTCAGAGTCCAAGCATGAATCCAGTCGGCTGAGAAGCCCAGTTCTACAGCCTCAGTGCACTAGACAATATTCTTTGAAGGGGGAACAAGGGATCCGACAAAATTTCAGTAACACCAAAAATATCAAAAGAGGTATTTTAGTAACCTTAAAAAAGTATCTTATTTTTAAAGAAAAACAAGTAGGTGTCAATGAAACAATTAATTAAATCCATAGTGTTGATGTTTTAAAATTTTATGTACAGTTTAAAGTGTATTCAAAAGAATCATCACATTAAATTTGTAACTGCAGTTTAAATTGTTTAAGGAAATTTAATGAAGTTTGCCATCAATGTTTAAATATTAAAAATTTCAAAGTTCTGCTTGTAGACATATGTTTGATAAACTGAGCATTAAATAAAATACAAATATTTGTGCAGCATTCTCTCCATGGATAAAAATATCTTCAATCTTTAAAAACCATATAAGCTGTCAACAATACACATAGAGAAAAGGTGTAAACCAAAGTATTAGGAATAATTATTTCTAGGAAGTGAGAGGAGGTAGGGAAGGGACTTTCATTCTTCACATACTCTGGAGATTTTCAAATTTCTTACAGAACCATGAGTTATCTTTGTAATCTCAAAATTTTCATCTTGAACAAAATTCAAGGCTTTATAGCAGCTGTGTGCTATCATAAAAGCATTAACTATAATCAAGTGTGGCTATAAGAGAAGTCTTGAAACTGAAGATCAAATTTTCTTTTATAAGTGAAATTAAGAAAAATCAGAAGGTAGTGGATAAAACCCATCATTTGTAGAAATGGCACGAAAATAATCATTTTCTTACAGGTTAAAAGTGTGGTTGAAAAGTTGGAAAGCCACCAAAAAGTCATTTATAGTAACTTGTGGGTAGATTCAATGAGGCTAGATTATGATGTATTTGTGAGCTGGAAAAGTAAAATCCAGGCCATCTCCCCACTTTTGAATAGGAATATCTACAGCGGTTGTACTATGCCTGTTCTAGCATTGTGATGGGGAGGAGGGCAGTTGTCTTTCTCTTTAGTTCACAGATCTTCAGAAGGAGACGAATTTTCTTTACTTAAGTAAACACACTTGAGAAATCTCATTCATACCCGGACCTGATTAGATGATGAAATTCTGGGCTTCAAGCTGACGGGATTAGACTTTGGGGTGCCTCAAGAGGAGGTAAGTGTGAGTGTATTTTGCTTGTGGGATGAATATGACCACTGGGTCCAGAGGGCACACAGTGGCAACCAGTCTTCAGAACAACCCCCAGTGAGCCATACCCCGTGGT